CAGCCTCCTCGCCCACCTTGCTCTGTCCATTCCCACCTCCTGCACTTGGGCACGAGGCCCACCCCGTCCCCGTCCATTAGGGACCGGCACGTCCCCTACCGAGCCCCACATTAACGTGGGCTGCCCGCTCAGAGCCTCTCCGAGCCCTTTGCATCCTCCTTGGCGGGGCGGGCGGGGGGGCCCCCACTCGCTCTCACCTGGGGATTTAATGAATAGGCTGCTGGACTCTTTTTTTCCCTTGCAGGCTATGAATAAGACACACACACGTTAAATAAGACAGACACATCTCCGCGGCAGCACGCCACTTAACGTTACGGTGATGCTAGGAATTCGCTTATGTAGGTCACTTCACCTCTGCCTCCAAAGCGTGAGGAAGTGGAGAGTAAAGTGACGGGGCTGTGCTTAGCTCTGCGTTCTTAAGACAAAGAGATTTCATAAGAGCCCTTACAGGGGTTTAAGGTGAGCAGGGAAGTTTCTCCAGTTAAACAGAATCATTTCCCTGCAAAATTTGGCAACGTAAACACCAGGGAAGGGATGCTCAGATGAAAACCAACAGAGCAGAGAGTAGAAATGTCTGTTTTGGCATCCACAGCCGTTTATTGGGTCAGGCACAAGACCCCAAGACGGACAACAGCGGCCAGACCCTGCTTGGGCCCCATCTGGGACATCCATGGTGGGACAGGTCCCTGCGGAGGGGCTGCTGTGCCCTCACGGGCAACTTTGGGAACCAGGCTGGAGCAACCTGCGTAACCCCCCACGGCAGAGCTCCCTGGTGGAGAGAGCTGCTGTGGTTTCACAGTAATTAGAAATAGAGCAAACCAGACCCGCAGGCCCCCTCCCAAGCCCCGCAGCCCTCGCTCTCTTTGCCAGCTCCAACAGAACGCCCTCATTTTGCTCCCCAAACGATAGGGGTTGGGGTCCGTTAGCGCAGAGACATGGAGAGGGGCTGGGTGACAGGAGCAGGCGGTCCCTGTCCTAAAAGGGTCCGGGTGGGTCCTGGCGTGGCCCTGTGGGGCTGGGGGGTCCCACTTGGGGGTCCCACCCGGCCCGAGCCGTGCTGGCTCTGCCCCACGCTGCCCTGTCTGCTCCATGGGGACGCACGTTCAGTCTCAGACTCCCGGGTTTCGGGTTTGCCGCGTAAGCCAACGATTAACCACTAATGAACTTTCTTCCTGCTTGCATTAGTGCTTTCAGAAAATTAAAGGTCTGGATACAGTTTCCTGTTGGGTTAAAATAAATGTAAATTGAGGAAGCCCGACAGCATCTGGGCCTGAGTAGTGCAAAAAAAAAAAAAGTATGTGTTGTTTCTTTACAGTTTTTCTTGGTTTGGGCTTTCTGTCTGTGGATGAACTATTGAAGATGCCATCTTGACCGTAGGAAAATAGTAATGTGCTTGTTTCTTTCTCTCCCTCCTCTGTAGGCCTACGGACATGAGGTGGTTAAGAGTAGATGATGAGATGCCTCAACACGTTGTAGTGTCTGGTTCAAACCTTCTCATTAGTAACCTAAACAAAACAGATAATGGTACATACCGCTGTGAGGCTTCAAACGCGGTGGGGAAATCACATGCGGATTACATGCTGTTTGTATACGGTACGTGAGAAAAACCACCGTTCTTCTAGACTCGGGTACACGTAATTGCACCGTAGCGCGCTCTGAAAGCTGTGACAGACGTTAACGTTTCGCTCCACGCCAGCTCCGCAGGCACCGCGCTGGGGTGCGCCGTGCACCTCGGCCCCTCCGCCAGGGCAGGGGGCGTTCCCGGGGCTGGCACCGCTCCTAGGGCCTGTCCCCAAACTCCCGCTCCTTTCTGTGAGCCCCTCTCCAGCGCTTCAGCAACGGTTGGGGGGGTCACATCTTTTCTCAGCAAGTAAAGTCACTGTAGGGTCAGCCAGCGGCCCCAGGTAATGACAAACCAGCGAGGGAACTGGGCGAATGAGATGCCCTAAGCCTCTCTGCGGCTGCCGAGCAGACCCCCAAAGATGTCTCAGCACCTTTTAAAGCGCTGGTCAAAGCCTCCTCCGATTCTTCCCTTCCTCTGCATCATTTTGCCGTGGCTGTGAACCTCATGCTGCTGTCACGAGGTGTAAGAAAGAGCCAGCAGGGCCTTGAGGAGGGGTCCCCGGCTCAACGAGCAGTTCCCCAGGGCTGTGTGTTGATGCCTGCCCTGCTCAGAGCTGAGTCTTTAGGGTGGGTGTTCACCGGGACGCGCGGGCACCCGCTCTGGTTTGCAGCTCATTGCAGGCAGCGGCCGCAGCCCAAACGCGCCGGTACCCTCTCCGACCCAGAGCGGTGCCTGACGTCCCCTGCCCAAACGCCACCCCCACATCAGCCATTTCAGCCCAGTCGTAGAGACCTGCCCAGAGACTGAAGATAAAGCCAGAACGATGGCTTTGAGCTCATCTGCCACATCGTACGTGTGGTGTCCTGGCAGCTCCTAAAGGCTCCAGTGTAGAAGTCAGATGTGCATTCATGATGGCGTAATTTGCATGCTCATGATATTAAAACAATACCCTGTTTGCATCGGTGTTTAAAGGAACAACTGCTGTTGTGGAGGAGCAATAATGAAGCTGAAGTAGGGTGCAGGCAGGTCCCCAGGAGATGACAGCTCTGTAAAGCCACTGCGGTAGAGCGAGGTGGTGTCACCCCTTGTCCTGGTCTGAGCTCCACGTCTCTGTTTTGGCCCAAGTGCTACATCAACCCTCACGGTGCTGGGATTCGGGGCTGGCAGTGACACTGGCACTTGTTAGGGACTGCAGTTTGGCTGTGGGTGCTGCTCAGGGCTGCTGCGTCCACAGGAGGAGACCCAGGCGGTTCTGGTTGAGAGCAGAGGCAGCGTCCCAGGGGAGGGCTCTGGGCATCTGGCAGATTTTGGTCACGTAGGGGAGGGCTTTTTGAGGCCTATCAGGAGCTCGTGGTCAGACCGTGGTCTCACACCCCATCACCTGCAGTCTCTGCTCATCTGGGAGCGTTCTGCCACCGTGGGCACCGTCAGGAGCCCGCTCAGCCCGGAGTTCAGATGGGGGAGCTGCAGGGGTTGGTGTGGGGGCAGCGCTG